CCTCCCTCAGCCTCCGATAATCCATACGACGATGATGAGCTCTCGGCCGAGGAAGAAGACGAATCCAGTTGTGTCAATGGTGGCAAAAAATTCAACTTGAGATCTAGCTCTAGGTCACTCGCGTTTTGTTGATTCATATTCATCGCTTCCAATACATATATATATATATATATGAATATAATATCACATATATATATATATATATATATATATATATATATATATCTCTGCAGAACATACCAAAAAAAGAAGAAGAAGAGAGGATTGATCCATATATGAATATAAATATGTATAAGAATTAGGAATATAGTCAATGAAATGGTAAGAAGTTAATTACCTTAGAGAAGATTGGTGTTCTTGTTGAGTTGATCCAAAGGGAAGAAGCCTCTTTGATGTTATGATGTTTTGTTGTGTATATATACACACACGCGAGAGAGGTTGGGGGTTCATTGAATGTTTACATTGTAAGCTATAGAGATTGGTTTTCTTTAGTTATCAAATTAAATATGCTAAGAAAATTATGATATATATATAATATGGCAACAATAAATGGGTATAGAAGAAAATGTAAAAAAGGTTGAGTATATGACTTGGGCTTTGAAATTCATGTATTATTACTAAAGGATTCGGATAAAGACTAACGTGAACCTTTATTCACACACACACACATATATGTGTATATATATATATAAAGATGAAAGACGATTTTTCAAAGGAAGACGAAGCAATCATATATATATATATATATATATAAGCGGTCATGAACTCTTTTAATAACAAAACAAGTAGAACAATATTTTTACCAAAAAAAAAGTAGAACAATAATACTCAATAATTAACTAATAACTGATATTGATTTCCATTGCGGTTTAAATATTAAATTTAATCATTATCATATTGTGATCATAAAATGCATAGTTCGAACCTACCTTTCACTGTATGTGGATTTAAAAATTCGGCCAATAAATCCATATAACAAAAAAAAAAGGGTGTGGGCATTGCAAAGAGTTAGTCGATGTCTTAATTAGTACAAAGTGAGGTCCTTTCCTAAGTTGTTATCAGAGCATTGGATGTGGAAGGCGATGGGTTGGTATCTCTATTTATTGTATGGTCTGTCTATAACTTATCATTAGCCTTAAACTATTTGATTTTCTCACTCCAATCCTTATAATATTCGGATTTATCGATTTATTCTTTGGAAAGTTTTGCCCAATAAACTTGTTCCTTCTATTTTGAGCTTTGGATTTTCTTTTGAAGATTTTATAATTTTTTTTATCTAACTATTGTTTAAATATGTAAGCCTGATAACGCAAACCCTTTATAACGAGAGGGGTTTGTAAGCTTAGTCTCTGTTTTTCTTTTACACGGAAAAAAAAAACGAAATATAAAGTCGTAAACTTTGATTCTGTTGACTGCATTAAATGCGGGATTGTGGTCAGTCGTAAACTTTGATTCTGTTGACTGCATCACATACGTGAATATCTTAGACTTTTGCACTCTCTATATACATATATGTATGCATGTATTTATATATATACATATATCCACACAAAGTTATGACCTAATGACGAGGACATGTATGTATATGTGTATAGCGTAACGTATCCCTCTCTATGGTTCATTGTAGGGTGAGAGAGGAACAAAATAGGGTTTGGTGAGGGTTTTGGGAAAACCCTAATTCCCAAATTTCAAACAGAAGATATTCTCAAGCTATTTCATGAATCAAGACAGTCCAAATCAATCAGCCCTTTACAAGTCAAGAACCAGATTCAGTGTGTGATGCATACAAAATGATCTTTGCAATAACCTTACCTACCATTTTGGGTCACTTTAGTCTTCCATGATGTGTTTCCTCTCCAGTTGGATGAATAGCTTATCTTGATCGTATTTCTCAGCGGCATTTTCCGTCTCGTTTCGTCCGTTGCATCGCAACAATTGAAGTTGAAGGCTCCGGACAAGGTCATTTAGCCTCTGGATATGTCTCTCCTGCGATAGAATGATCTGTAATTATAAACAAACATGGTCAGAGTTCAGACTGGACGCATCCCCTCGCAACTAGATATGGGCACGGGTTGGATATCCAAAAAATTCAGGGTATCCAAATTAGTATCCATGTTTTCACAGTTTGATATCCATACTCGTGCCCGGAAATCTTTGGTACCCAACTACTAGTATCAGATATCCACGAACGGGTACCCCGTTTTCGGGTATTTACGTCCACTCCTAGTGGCAACAACACAGTCAGAAGCTGATAGCCCTATTCTCAGGAGTTTTCCATAAGTGCCAACAACACCTACACTTAGTTTACTACTCATATCCAATGCATGCAAACAGCAGATAGCCCTATGCTTAGGAGTTTTCAATAACAGTAGAAAATATGTCAAGGCTCAAATTCACATTGAAACATGAAGTTATTCATGTACTGATGCCCAGTGAAAATCTAATTCAATCCTTAAGACATTTTAATTCAAGGGTAGTAAGTTTTCTCCTATATCTTCTCCATTTCCATCCATTAATAGGTGAACCAGGGGGAGACTATTGAGAGATGACAACCAAGATCGCCCAAAAAACAATTTCAATGCAATACAAAAGAATTTCTATCAGTCACCTGCGGGTTCAAGACAAAATACGAAAGAGGAAAGGAATAAGAAACGAAGATCAAATTCCAGCAAATGTTAAACACATGAAAAGCCCCGTAGAAGCTTGTCAAAAGCAAGATTTAAGTTGAAGACAAAGGATATGTTGACAAAGACCATTATTTTCAGATTACAATCAAGAGAAAACCCCATGACATGGCTATGAATCTATTGAATGTAAAGCCTCGAAAAAGGAGGTCTGATCTCTGATGACAGAAAAAGAATGGTAAAACACAAAGATGTACCTTAACCATCGGGTCATAGTTCTTTCGATGATTACAACTAATCCCAGGTCACCAATCACCATCCAGAAACAATTTTGGGTATTTACCACACAATTAAAGACTGCAACTTTTTAATGGGAACACACAGAAATTCCAAGAAAGAGTCAGAATAAGTACCTTCTCCTTCACAGCTTCTTCCCTTTCCGAAATTTGCAGCTGTTTCTGAGACACGCTCGGAGTTGCATCAAGGTCGGAAACAAGTGGTTGCCTCCACTCAAACTGAGAGGTGACTATAAGTATGACGAGTAGAAAGACGAGTAGGATGGGCCTAGACATGCCGTCGAATTCAGTTCTTAAATCACCTGACCCAACTTCAAAGCATTAGCCAATTCATACAATCTTAAAACTTCGAAAGAGTAATTTCTTATCAAATCTCCAGACAAATCCGAATCTTGACAAGTAGCCAGACACAATATGGTATATCTAGCTATCACAGACTATGTCCAGGAAAACCAAAGCAAACGAAACATGTTCAGGATGAGATGCCATAAAAGGGCAGGTAAATGTCAAAATCTCTGTACCTAGGGTTTCCATAGGAGTTTCTATTAGCACCAAATCGGGACGCCTATTGGAGAACGAATCACCGAATCGTCAAGCCTAAGCATGATATCATCTCTAATTCCTCTTCTGACCATTTTCTCGGAATCCAAACAGATAAAAGCGTCAAGGATAATTCAACTAGATGATCAACAGAAATTTCGAACTTACAGATCGAACTTGAACAGAGGAAAACCCTAACTTCATGATCGGACAAGGAGGCGTCGTCCTTCCTAGGGTTCTTCGGGTGTCGAAATGCAGAAATCAATCGAGATCTTCCTAAATCGACTGTATACCAAATAAGTTCACAAAAAAAATTACAACACCAGCGTTCCCAACGGGATTCGTGTAGTAGAGAGCAGAGCAACTGAGCAAGGAGCACCACGAAGCAAAGGTTTAATGGCGGATGTGGATAAATCTGACTGCAGCAGAAAAATGACGGGAGAGAGAAAAAAAGAAAGACTTATTTGCAAATTACCCCACACATTATCCATTTTGTGCAAAACAACCATCACTCCAAAATTATTACAGAATCAACCTTTATGTAATTAAATTATCAGAAACACCCCCCATTTGTTCCCATTAGTAAGATGATTTCGAATCCCAGCTGTTCTCTTCGCGGGTAATTTCATTCTGATCCCTATATTTCCTTCATCGAAGCAAAAAGTGCTTACATTTTTAGGACATATCTACAAATCTTCACTGTCGAGACGGCAACTCAAATCGACAAATGGGGCACCTATGACAAGTCCTAAGCCATTGTTCAATGCAACAACGGTGGAAAACATGAGAACAAGGCATACGGATTGCTTCTTCCCCAAGAAACATCTTCTCCATACAAATCGTACACGGATCAAATGTGTCCATGTCGTGTCCCATCACTCTCAGGCGCTCCAGTTTCTGAACCGCCGCTTCATTCGCCGGTTTCGGGGCATTCCAACCTGAAATCAACAGCTGGAGCGCCTCTCTCCGCGCCTGTTCCGCCCTTTCGGCCAGAGAAAACGGTAAACGATTCTTGTCGATCCCTGCCAGAACGTTCTTGAGGCTTTTCCTCCATAACAAAACCGATATCAGATCCTCGTTGTTAGCGATTCTTCTCTTGATCATTTCGGAAATTCTCTGCTCGATCTCGCCACGGAACCGAGCGGCTTGATGCTCCTGATGCGTTTCCTCGTAATCTTCGCGCGTCAACAAGGTCGTTTTGTTTATCTGAAGCTCGAGATGCAGCCATTTACGATCTGAGTAATCTTCACTGTTCTTGATGAACTTCAAGTAATCCACCAGATTCTGTACAATGGCGTCCTCTTTGGTCGTGTCAGCGTCACTCATCTTGATCATCAAGTTCGTACTTTCCCATCTGTACATAGCAAACGGTACATTCCGAAGGAATTCTTGCGTGAAAACCTCAAAAGCTCGTGAAGGGTAATCGCCAGAACCGGATTCCGTCTCGAGATATGAACATGGGAACCTGAATCTGCCCCCGTAAAGCTTGCGTGACACGAAATGTTCCGGAATCTGACTTCCTTCCATCTTGTCCTCGCATCTGTACATTTCGTAAACACTGAATTCTATGAAGAATTGAGGGTACGGAACAGTTTCCTCGTACATGTTCTTCTCGCTTTGTTTCTCTGAGAACGATATCTCTACTCTGTCTGGTAATTCGTGGCCTTGTCTTAGCCACGGACCGTACGTTCGTGCCACCGTCTTCGTCCTCCGATTCAGACGGCGAAACTTTGTGGTTCTGTCACAATCTTTGTCAATGTGGTCAATCATACCGCATTTGTAGCAGAAGCTTTGGAGATTGCAGTAAGTGAACTGAACGAATCGTTGTCTGCTGAGGTTGAATCCGGGCTTGAGAGGTTCTTTAAGATAAATCTCTGCAAGAACCTTGAACACCCTTCTCGAAGGATCGCTGAGAAATTGAATCGGACGGTGCATTACCCAAGAAATCGCGTCTTCTGCTTTCTCCTCGTTGTACCAATTCAAGGGCAATCCGACGAGATTGACGCAGAAAAGAGCCGAAGTGAAATCGGTGTCTAAATCTGTGGACCAGTCCTTGAGGACCAAGAGAACGCCATTGACATACCAAGGTCCATCTTCGAGAGCCTTCTCTTTGTCGCTCTCTAGCTTGAACCCGAACAAGATCGTGTCTTGGTCGAAGAGGGTGAAAACCTTCATGTCGTCCTCGGAGAGATTCCATTGTCGTCGGAGAGAACTCTCGGCAGAGTCATTGGACGGTCGAGCCGAATCCGTGAAGAATCTTCCGGCGAGACAGAGACGGTGAAAGTCGTCGGCCTCCATGGGGGAAATTAGGGTTTCTGATTCGGGGAAGAGAGGGGGAAGAATGACCCTGCTTGAGCAAGAAGAAAGAGGATTAATGATATTTGTAGTTTTAATTTAACAAATATCCTTCTAAGAAAAACCTTATTACTTGTGGACTGTGGAGTGGGTAACAGAATAACAATTCCATTTTTTTTTATTTTCTCTGAATAAGGTTTGAAATTTCAAAGTGAAATTTAATTAGAATTCACAAAAATGAGAAATGTTAAAACAGAACCCGTTTGAAATAAAAAAAATGTTATAAATATTCTTAATATATATATTTTTTTATATTTTTAGAATTCATTTGGTTATTTGGAATTTATAAATGGTTGGTGTATTTAGATAAGAGAAAAAAGAATATGCATTTATTTGGAAAGTTTTGATAAGTTTATTATGTTATCTTCTGTGATATTTTTTCTTTATAAGATTTCAAAGTAATTTTCTAATTATGAAAAACACCTATTTAAAATACATAGTAATATCACAAATATTTTTCTCACTTAAATTTGTAGAACAATATAAAAGCCAGATTGGGAAATTATTTATTGTCCATTGGAAAAAAGATTCGACTAGGATTATTTAATTTAGAATCTTGGTTTTCAAAGTATGGAATTAGAGTTGGGGTTCTTTTCATTAATTATTTTTTATCTAAAACTCTATTTTATTAACCAATTTAATCTTTTATAAAATATAATCTTATTATTAAGTATATTTGCCATATGACAAACTATTTTTCATATTTTTAAAACGGTAAAACAAAATTCTTTTCCCTGTAAAGTCCTTTTGCAAAACCAGTAGCAAAAAGCAATTTCGCTTCATCTTATTAATAAATATATATATATATATATAGTAAAAAATTCTAGAGTCGTCCGTTATTCGCTGAAAATCTTTGTCCTCTCTCAGTCTCCAATGTCCAGTCAAGAAATGGCTCTCGCGACGGCGACTCCACTGGTTCACAACGGTCAAGTCGTCACTGAGGTCAACATGTCCGCCGGGGACACCGTTCGCGCTACCGTCGTTCAGGCGTCCACCGTCTTCTACGACACTCCGGCGACTCTAGGTTCCTTTCTCTCCTCCTCCTCCTCTTCGATTTCTGAATCGTCATCTTCTTCGACGATTCGATCACGGATCCGTGGTTTGTGCAGATAAGGCGGAGCGATTGCTCGCGGAGGCGGCGGGTTACGGATCGCAGCTCGTGGTCTTCCCGGAGGCGTTCATCGGCGGCTACCCTCGCGGCGCCAGTTTCGACTTGGCGATTGGAAGTCGTACGGCCAAAGGAAGGGATGATTACAGGAAGTATCATGCGTCTGCCGTTGACGTGCCTGGTAAATTTTGAAAACCCTACTCAAAATCTGCGATGTGGGCTTGATTTCTCGATTGTTCTTCTTTTGAGTTGATGGGTTTCTCAGATGATCGGTTATTCATTGGTTTTCAAAGTTTAGACACTGCTAAATGTGATTGTATCTTGTTCCGAGTTTCAATTTCTTTGGATATGATTCATGGGTCAGTGTAGTTTATGGAAATTTGAATTTCTTTTGAAACGTTTTCAGAGGATCAAATAAAATAAACAGGGAAAATCATCTGATTTTGCAATGCCTCCCTGAATGTTTTGGGAGGAAACATTTGTATAAATGACTTATGAGTTAACCTCAGCACAATAGCCATTGTTAAAGGTGCTTGTTTTATCAAACGCTCTTTGGTATTAAAAATGTATCCAACATTGTTATCGAAATTGAAGAACTTGTTTAAATCTATCAAATGATTTGATAGACTAATCGGCAGGACCAAACTCAACTTCCGGTTTCTAATATTCGAGTTCTGATTAAGCTTTATATGATGGAGCCCGTATGCTCCATTTTCTGATTTGTTTGTCATCGTTTTATTTGCAAAAATTCAGGTCCTGAAGTGGATAGATTGGCTGCAATGGCCAGGAAGTACAAAGTGTTCATGGTGATGGGTGTCATAGAGAGGGAAGGGTATACGCTATATTGCACAGTCCTTTTCTTTGATTCCCAAGGTCAGTTCTTGGGTAAGCACCGGAAACTCATGCCTACGGCTTTGGAACGTTGCATCTGGGGGTTTGGCGATGGATCGACTATCCCTGTTTTCGAGACTTCCATTGGGAAAATTGGTGCAGCTATTTGTTGGGAAAATAGAATGCCATTGTTAAGAACCGCAATGTATGGCAAAGGTTAAGTCTTTTTCCTGACTTCCATAGATATATTTTCAGTTTTTTTACCCAATTCTTGATTTGTATTTTTGGAAGCTCCAGTTAGATTCTTGTGCTATAAACTATAAGTATGAGTCTTACAATGTACTTTTGCAGTTTTATTTATTCTTGAGCTTTTCTTTTTTGTTTAACCTAATTTTTTCGTACCCATGATTTTATTTTTGTCTCTCATCTCTTCCAATTCGCAGGCATTGAAATATATTGTGCGCCTACTGCTGATGCAAGGGAAACTTGGCAAGCATCAATGACTCACATTGCTCTTGAGGGTGGATGTTTCGTGTTGTCAGCCAATCAGTTCTGCCGCCGGAAAGATTACCCACCGCCACCAGAGTACGTGTTTTCTGGCGGCGAAGATAATCTGACTCCAGATTCTGTTGTCTGTGCCGGTGGCAGCGTTATCATTTCACCGTTGGGGAACGTTCTAGCCGGTCCCAACTATGATGGAGAGGCTCTAATCTCAGCTGATCTCGGTAATACCCTTTTTCTCTAAATCTCAACTCTTTAGTTCAGAGTGTGGAAGAAGACCCTTATCTTGCTTCCATTCAAACATTTATCCTAAACATATCTTCCGGCAAAAATCAATCATATCGATAACTTGTTTTTGGCTGAATGATGATGAAACGGTCCAGACCTCGGGGAGATAGCACGGGCCAAGTTCGACTTTGATGTGGTTGGGCATTATGCGAGGCCCGAAGTGCTTAGCTTGACGGTAAGGGAGCACCCGAGGAAGGCAGTTACCTTCGCGTCTAAGGCAGCGAAAACCGAAGAAGGGTCTGAGAAAAAGTTGTCATCCTAAGGGAGTTTACGACAGTATCCTTTTGTAACTGTAAGGAAATAATGTGTAAGAAAACATGTATTCACAATATTCAGAGAGAGTGGATTGTTCTTATGTTCTCTTCTGGTTGTGTTGTGTTGTGCTGTATGTTCTTGGTTTCGTAAATAAAAGAGGCTTGTTCTGTTTACATGCTTGATTTGGTTTTGTTTCGGTTTGATTGAAAACCGTTTGGTTTGTTGGTACGGTTTTGTCTTGGTTTAGGATGTTCTGATGTCATGTGTGAATCCAAATACTTCTATGGTTAGGCTGCCAATAATTTGCTCTTAACGAAGGTTTTGATGAACATTAATTGATTTCGAATCTTAATATAAAAAGAACTCGGAATGGGAAAAAAATGAATAGGGAACAAATATTTATTTTAGAAATTAAACATTTTTTAAAAAATCAATTGAATTGAAAATAACATAAAAATTAATGATATATACTTAAAATAAAATACGCAAACCGAATTCAAATCCACAAATAATACATATTTATTATCCGAAATTGGATCCGAGATATCCAAACAATTTTTTTTTATAATATGTGATTTGTGAAACACTTTTTGCGCATACCAACTTACCAGTTGAGCCAACAACTCTTTGCTCAACTGGTAAGGTGTTTGATAATATCAAAACAATTTTAGAATGAAACAAAAGTGAATTTGAATCTCAAGATTTATAATTAGATAAGATTACCTTATTACAACTAATCATCTTCCAAAAAACGATATTCGCATCTAAATGATGCGAATGTAGTGTGATTACAGGGTGATCTGTCAAAAAAAAACATCAAATCTGATTCGAAAACGGGAAGGAAAACGGCCACATTTTGGATGATGGGCAAAATCACATGGATGATGGAGACAAACATATATAGTCCACAACTCAATAATACAGAGAGAGAGAGAGAGAGAGAGAGAGAGAGAGAGAGAGAGAGAGAGAGAGAGAGAGGTTGGAGAGAGAGGTTGGATCGTGTTGTGGTGGCATGAGATGATCAATAATTTAGGAGAGAAGAGAGTTCGGTTGTGGTTTGTATCCCCACGTTGCCTCGGAGGCTTTGTGTCTTCACCAGACAAAGCATCCCATTTTCACATTTGTCCAAACTCTGTCACCCGTTTTCGTTTGCCATCAACATCCCCATGTGTCCCTCTGCATCCATTTATACAAAGACATGGAGAGAAGGACAACTCAAACGAAGAACAACCAATATATATATATATATATATATATGTATTAAGTTTTTTTAGGTAGCAAAATAATTTCACCAAATATTTATTCATTTGGATGGTGGGGAATTCCCTTGTTCACCAAATATTTGTTCATTTTTTAGAATTTTATAATTTGGATATTTATTTAGATTTTTTATAAAAATTTGGATATTTATATACGATTTTTTCTATATATATATATAGATATTAAGTTTTCTTAGGTAGCAACATAATCTCCTTGTTCTAAAATTTGCGATTCAAATACAAAATGAGATATCTCTTTGAGCAAATTTTCAATTAGAATCGATCAACAATTTTCAATACCCGATTATAAGGTGTTTTTACAACAATTTTCGAATTCGAATTTGACGGTATGAAATATTATTCGATTTCAGAAATTTGATTTGGATTAATTTGGATTATGAACGATTAATAACCTACAAGTATCAGAATATCTCCATGTTTGCTTACGTGAATAACCGAATATTTGAGAATATACTCATCGACAACGAATTTAAAATCGAATTTGAAATCCGAATGGTTAATATTCAGAATTAGATTTTCTAATTATTACATTTAAATAAATTTACTAAGTCCAAAAACCCATTTTAGGGTATAGACGTTCACTGCAACATGAAAATTCTGATTTCATATGCAAAGTGTACAGCAAACAGGGTATTAGGTTTTATCCATAAAAGAACGATATATTACATATATATATTGTATAACCATAGTATAAAACTTCTATTTACACTCTCAGTTTCAATTCAATAAATATGAAAAAAGTTGAATTAACGACTTAATTAATTATAATTAACAAATCACAGAAATTCTCCATGCCATTTACCTTCCTCTTTGCTCCTCGTCGCCGGAGCTCCGGCGATTACTCCGGCGAAACCTCTTCTTTCCGATTCCATTGCTCCGACGGCCCGACAAATTTCACGTTAGATATAATATAGTCTCTCAAACTCTTTAGAGATTTATCTCTATCGATCTCTTCCCTGTCTCCTGTCGGAAAATCCATGTTCGCTGATTTCTTGTCCACCGAATCCTCTGAATCTCCATCACTTCTCCGGCCATCATCATCACCGGAAAAGTAAAATCCGTTCTCTTTCCGGCGACCTGCATCGGAGAATTGTCCGGATCCGACATAACTCCACTTGTAACTCTTGCTAACACTGTCCATGTTCAACTCTATCGATTTCATATCGCTTTCTTGGTCAGATCCTTCTCCGTCTTCGATGACCTCCAACACCCTTTTGATGCGGCCGAGACACGGCGATTTTAGGGTTTCCTCCGCCGTCAAAACTCGACGGATCTCCCTCCTCATCCGCTCCACCGCCGCGTTCTTCTCCTCGAACTGGAACTTAGCCTCTGTTAACTTCATCTGAACTCTCTCTTCCCTCAAAACATCTGCAATATGCATCATCTCTCTCTCCTTCTCCACTTCCTCTTGAACTCTCTCCGCCTCTTTCATTACCCTCTCCACCTCGGCCTTGTCTTCTCCGACATTTCTCACGAGCTCGTCGCAGACTTGCTCGAGAATCTCCTTCGCCCTTTTCTCTCTCTGCAATTCTTCCGTCACCCTTTTCGTCACGGCTTTCGCCTCAGCCAGTTCGTGGCCGAGCTTCTTGTTCATCCTCTCCGTCTGTTGCCGTAGTTTTCTCTCGGCCGCCACTTCCCTCTCTGTCCTCCTCCTCCATCGCCGCTTCTCCTCCATATGACTTTCGATAAAGGTTTCCCCATTGTTCTGATCTCTTACAAGTCGCTTCAGGGTTGATCTTGCACGGTCGAGCTCGCTTCTCAAAGCCGAGATTAGGCGTCTGCTTGCTGTCGGATGATGATGATCGTCATCGCCCAGTTTGTTGACCCGTGTTAGAACTTTCACGAGCTCTTTCGATGTTGTTATACTGTCGACGATGTCCTTGAGATGGCCGATGCGTTTTCCGCCGTCACGGGTTCCTGTCTGAAATGTTTGCAGATCGGAGAAATCGATCAGAAGCGAACTTACATTCGTTTTCTTGCGCCGCAAGCCACAGGGAAAGTCTTTACGGACCGAATCTCCAGCAGGTCTCTCCATTCTCTGAATATGTTTCTGGAGAAGAAAACAAAAGACTTTGATCAAGCTCGTGAATTCAAGAACTGATCGTAAACGACATCTAATGCAAGAAAAAACCGCACATTTGAGCCCAAATGGATGAGATCGGACAGCTCAGTTGGGAAATCCTGCGGCAATTTCAATGCTTTCGATCTGTTTCTCGATGATTCCTTGCCCCTCAAGAAATCCCTGTCCGAATTTCCTGTCGGCGGGCTAATACTGCTGCTGATCTCCCACAGCGTCGCAGCTAGCTTTCTTGCGGATACAGAGCTGTTCTGAGCTTCCGTCGGAAACTTTTCCGGCGAAAGGGGGAATGATAGGAATTTTCCGGCGAAGGCGGCGGTGGGTTTGACCGGAGTTCCGGAGCCGCCGCCGCCTCCACCTCTGACTGCTCGTTTTCCGGCGAGAATGGCGCGCTTGAAGCGATTTTTCCGGGCAAGAGAAGAAGAAGACGAGGAAGAACAGCCTCTCTTCCTGATCTTGCAGCCCTTTTTCCCTTCCATTACAGTGTCACACAACTTGAGGAAAAAAAAACAGAATCTTGGATTCAAGGTATCAAAGGAATTAATCAGAACCAGCTGCAGACATCGAAATTACACATGAAACAGAGGCGGAATTTATCAAGAGAGAGACACAAAAAAAGGAGCAAACTTTGATGGGGTGGTTCTGGATGCTTAGGATCAGAGATTTGAATCCAGGGAGATAGTCTTAATGCTTTTTCTGTTTTTGCGAAGTGGGTCATGAGGTGATTATCTTTTTGATGAGAAAGAACTCAGTTTCTGGAAGATTCTTCTTGAATCTGATAAGCTTTAGAGAGAGAGAGATTAGAGGAGATTACAAGAAAGTTTTAGACAATGGGTGCTTTCTTCTCCTCCTTTCTCTTTATTGGGAAGTTGGTCTAATTTCTCTCAGAATAAGAAGGAAAAAAAAAAGTTGCAGAGAACAAAGAGGAAGAAATCAAAGATTCTTAGCGTTCAGACAGAGAATTCTTGAATCTGGGAAACTGAGAGAGAGGGAGAGAGAGAGAGAGAGAGAGAGGTGTCATGTGTACGTTGTTTAATGGCGAACGTGGAATTCTGAGCAATGTTTGCAGTGTTCATTGCGAGTTGCGACGAGGCCTTTTTTTTTTTTTTTTCCCATTTCCCGTAATTTACCAAAAACGATATAATAATAAATATGTTTATTTTTTAATCTTGTTTTTTATATCCAATTTTAGAGTTGTTTATATCATTTTAATATTTTTGTTTATCTCTATATTGTATCTTTTACATTGTCGTTTTTGGTTTCTATAATGAATTTGTTGTCATTAATTTCCACTACAAAGACAAAAAAAATCTAACAAAAATAACTCAAACAACCAAACTAAAACAAATTGGCCTTAAACTAATCCTAATAGGTTTAGACTTTGAATGGGGATCACTTTTATTTTGGATTTTTAGTTTTAGTTTTTAAAATTTGGGTTTTAATTTTTGATTTTTGGTTTTTGAATTCTATAATATTTGAAAACTAAAAAAATAGTTTTTGGTTTTTTATTGATTTTTTTTTCACTAAAATGACTTTCTAGATTTTTTTTAAAAATAATTTTGTAAAAATTTGAATGATAATTTTTTGATCTTTGGATTTTAAAAACTCCAACCATTCAAATCTTTAATTTTGGTATCATTTTATACTCGGTTTTAAAATGGGATTTGATTTCATCAAGAAAATTACAAATAAATTTAAATTAAACTAGTTTATTTTTCTGAAAATAGAATTAGATTATTTTGGTATCATTCACAACTTTATTTAATTTTATCATGAAAATCGCAAATGAGTTTAAATTCCTTAAATTAATTTATATTATTATCCGCAAATTAAATTAGTTTTATTTTGGACAAAAATTAGGGGCACAAAGTACAATAAATACATCTATGGAACATCCAACGGGCGCCAACTCCATCGGTCAAAATCAAATCAGTCGTACAGATCCTTTAACTATTTAAAAATTAAATAAAAATAAGTTGAAAATTAAATTTTATTTTGAACGAATAAGGGCCCCACGATTTTTTACAAATCATGGACGGTTCCGATTAATTTGGGTCCCACAGTTGTTGGCTCTTATCCCCCGTCTCTTTCTCAAATGTACGTACATAAATTTGAAAATTTCGATGGAATTTCTAAAATGCGAACATTTGAAATTTTTGCTGAAATATGTTAAATAATAAGAGTCGAAATATTTTTTTTGTTATTTGTTGTAAAAATTTATTATATATAGGTATAGTATGTGTGTGTATATATATATATATATATATATGGGCACAGTTAAAAATTAAGCACATGTGCATGCGAGATTAAACTAAAAGAAGAGACGATTAAGAATGGAACCCAAATTAAAATAAAAAGTTTTATAATATTTGGAAGAGAAGAAATAGAAAAATATCAATGAATTAAATTAGGGATATTCACTAATTGTTGTTATTATTACAATTAAAAAATTTACTAATTGTCACTATTATTGTTATTATTAAAATTTTAATCTCATAATTTTAGGATGGTCAATATCTCCTAATAGTCTTCTTAACACTATAAAAGCATAAATATACAATTAGTCCATTTCAATTGAACATAACATTTATTTATTTATTTATTTGAAAGAAAATACATATACATATATATACACTATATATAAAATGATACTATAATTCAATGTCATCAAAAGTCAATTATTATGGTAAAATATTCTAGATATCATTTTCAACCTACCGTTGGTAGACATAAAAGATTATTGGCGTTCAAAATCCCACAAAAAAAAACGTGATATGAATGAATACTTGTAATGTACATGTTAAAATAGTCGGTCACCACATCGAATTTATGTAAATAATTGTGATGTACATTTAAATACTAACAAATGCATTATTTTATTAAGTTTGATTCTCATAAATTCATAATAGCATTTTAGTTAGGTTTTATAATTAAATACCCAAGGCATATATGAACAAAACAATTGGTGAAATTATAATCAACAGTTGTTCCACTAATGGCCACCGGAAATTTTCCTATTAAATTTTATATTAATAAACAAGATATAGTGTGAGCTATTCATAGTCACTTATAGGAAATCACAAATTAATATACAAATTTAATATTCAAAATTTCAAATTAATGTATGAACTACCTTTTAAATACCAATTGCATTTATAAATTTTCGAGATATTGCAATAAACCACTATATATATATATATATATATAAAATTTAACCCTGCGTACCACAATATCAAACCCACAAGAGTTTACATTCTCCTCCTCTCCCACAGAAACTCTCTCAACACTAACAACTTGCTAAATATGGAAACTTCATAACCAAAAATGAGAAGTTCAAGAATATCACTAGCCGTTGGAGTTCTTGTCTCCGAGTTCATCCCCACGTGGACTCTCCGCCTATCCCGATCTCGGTCTCTGGAGGAAACCCGAGGACCGTACCCTTATTCCTGTTCTTGCCCGTATTCGTTTTCTTGCTCGGTTTAGTGACAATATCGCCCGCTAAGCCCGTCTTCTCTTGCCCGACTCTCTTCTTCTCACGCTCATTCACAGAGCTCTCTGGCATGTCGGTGCTCGCAAAGAGTTCTGCAAAAGAGATCTCTGCGTCGTCTATGATGTCGAGTTCTTCCTCTGCTCGGGTCCTTTTCTTTTTCTCCCGACCAGCTTCAGGTCTTTCTTCCTTCTCTCTTTTCTGCTTCCCGTCTAACCCTTTGCCCGAAAGATCTTTCCCGCCAGAGCAAAGATTCTTGCTCTTTTCCGAAAGTTCTTCTGAATTGCGGCGCTTGGAGATCTTGCTCTTTTGTTCTTCTTGTGGTTTCTCTTCAGATTTCTTGTGCTTGGATCTTTTTTCGCTTTTTTGATCTTCTTTGGGTTGTTCTTCGGTCTTGTTACGAGGGGCATCTAGCTCTTCATCTCCGCTATCGACTTGGCCATGCTTTTCATTCCTCGAGCTTTTACCTAACAGTTTAGCATTGAATACGTGCAACCCGGGAAGTAACTTTGTCACCTGTGATATTGATATCATTCTTGTCATTATCGATTTTCTCTCGGTACGAACAAACACATTCAATCAGAAACGAATACGCCTGAAAAAAAGGAACAAAATTGGTTCACCTTCTTAGCTAATTTGTCATTTTCATCGATTGGATTTCCTCGTAAATTGAGGTTTCGCAAGCTAGAGAGCGAACCCAAAACCTGTCATTTGCGAGACACACGATGTTTAAGCTCAGACAAAACAGAGAAAAACTTTTCATAAGATGGTATGTAACATGAAGAATCTGCGTCCATATATATGATATATACATATATACCTTCAGATCAGACCATTTCATGATCATGTTGTTTCCCACATCCAAGTTCCGGAGCCTCTCGTTGAGGGTTAGCTCAGTCGGGAGAGCCTGGGCAGTTTGCGTAAAGGCGATGTAAATTCTAAAGTTTAGTTTTTAAGGGATGGGAAGATAATGAAAGAACTGAGAAGAAACTCGTAAATATATATGGATTAGAGGAGAAGGCGAAAAAGATCTTGAGATTACCGTGATTTCATTGTGAGCGAGTCGGAGCTCCTTCAGTTCAGTGCATGACTTGAGGGAAGAGCCGATAGCCTGGATTCTGCAATTCGACAGGGAAATCTGAAACCGGAAATTACGTAAGAATAAGGCAAATAACGTACAGAGAAAGGTTAGATGCCATCACGGGTTGAAAAAATCGCTTACTTTCGAGAGATTTTTTGACTTGGAAAACGCATCACCGATGTCACTGATTGGATTTCTAGAGAGAACTGCATAAAACCAAAACGAAAATCGGAAACAATATGAGTTCATGTAAAACGATTCCATAAACCAAGCTCGATGAACACAGAAGATAGAGTTGTGTGACGGGAAATGTGGAGACATTTGATGTAAGAACATACCGAGAGTGTTTAAGTCTTTCAATTCATCTAGCTTGCAAATGGAGGAAATTTCATTGTCTGCAAAATCGACACCACAAGAAAACAGGAAGGAAATACAGTCAGAGGCAGCTCGGCCATTGGCCACCATGAAATATGTTACACAACCTACCGTTTAGAATCAAGGCACGTAAGCTCACAAGAGAAGAGACCTCATTCATTGACTTAAGCTTATTCTTTCCTGCGTTTAGCACCTGACAGCAAACAACAACAAACAGACCATTGAATCATTCTCTGACCGATTCAGATATTTTTCCTCGTGGCCTGCAGAAAGAGAAGCTAAACCCGAGGAAGTTTCTCTTACAGCGGAGAAAGAGACATCAGGACATGAATACAGAATTTGGTACTCTAGTGGGACTTACTGTAAGCTTAGAGAGTCCTTCAACGCCATTCAAGCTCTGCAATTTGTTTTCCAGAACGGATAGCCACTTCAAATTCCCGCAAGATTTCAATCCCTATTCATCATCGGCATAAACATGATCACGATGAACAAAAACCCCAAGTGTCATTACAGCTTTTGCATATATGATAGAACTGCATTAGAATAATCTTTGGCTATACAGCATAACACATATGTATAGATCAACAAGAGAAACGCAATGCAAATCTTTCCCTCTGATTCATACAGATAGACTGAGAATGCGTGTGTGCGCACACCTGAAGAGAAGTAAGGTTGTTTAGGCGAAGATCGAGTCTCTCCAAGTTTCTGAACTTGGTCAAGCAAGACACCTGATACGAAAAAAGCCAAGAGATTTCCACTATCCAGTCAGAAAATTAGGGTTCATCTTGGGTTTTTTTTTCCGAGAGAAAGAGAAAACCCAGAACGAAACTTACGTCGGAGAGAGCTCTCTGGCCAAGAGTGAGTTCCTTGACGGAATCGGAGTCATGGGTCTGCTTCTCTTTCAATACTTGTTCTACTCTCAATGATTTCATAGCTTCTCTCTTAGTGAAATTCTGGGCTTCGCAGTCTTCGTCTTCTTCCTCGTATATAAGCCCTAGTTCTTAGTTTGGTCTCTCCGCGACGGCGAATGCTTAACTAAACCCTTTGTTTCATTATCATTGCTATTTGCCTCCGTGTCCGACCGTTTTAGGCTTGTTCAGGTAAATCTTCTCGAACCCCTAAATTTTCAATTGTTTATAGATTTGACCCCATATTATGTCATGAATCAGGGATGCCCTCCTAAAGTAGCCTAGGTTAAGGTCGGTACCGGAACCCTTGTCGGTGTACGTGTATCTCCGATATTTCGTTTCAATATGTGTTGCGGTTTTGTTGGTTTCAAATTTTATAAACTCGATCCATTATTATCAAAATATAATTCCATTGTTGATTACAAAACACTCGTTGTTGTACGTTTATCATTATCGACTGACTCACCAAGTGACATTCACCGTCTCCCAGCCCTATCAAGCAACATAATCCACAGATAAATGGGTATCTAAACGTATCTCATAATTAATCGAAATTCGAATATCCGACCGTTACAGATTAGAAACCCGAGAGTCAAACATTCGAAAATCGAGTACCGATATCACGGGTATCCGATCAGTGCCCAGCATTGCAAGACAAGCAGATTTCATCTAACCATCTCCAAGAACTTGGTATTGTTTAGCCATTGATGCTTCTTGACACCAAATTTTGAAAATTTTGTTGCGAAAATTCTTTTTATCTGAAATAACATTACTTCAAAGCAACCCGAGTTCACATATCCTCTCTGCAGAATAATTCCATAGCAAGTAATCATTCCGTACGTACATGGATTTTCGGTCTCAGAAACCGAATAATATTACACTTCGACCAATCCCCTCGACCAAGGTTAGCTTCTCCATGTCATGGCTTGACAAAACAGAGGAAGATGTCGGAACAGAACAAAGCCATGGCAAAGAAGATGATCAAATGTGTGCAGAGGGAGAAAAAAAAATCCAACCTTATGGGATTTGGCGGCTGACGAGGAGAGAAAAGGAAAGATTTTCGAAGAGGGTTATTAACTCAAGAGATGTATTTGTCTTCGTGCTCTTGCAAGACCCTTGCTGAAGACTTTGCGTCGAGGTAGAGCAAGGTCACTTCCTCGAGATCAGCCTGTAAGTTACAGAAACGATGATGAAAAGAACTTCGTATCAATTTGCCATTTACTTCCAAATCCGACCCGTGATATATCAAACTTGTTGAAATTTGATTAATAACCTTGCAAATATTGTCGCGGCCGTTCGTTTTTGCCACGATGCTAGCAGGAGTCAAGAGCTGAACC